ACAAAAGAAGGCAGGATTTATGCCTTTCAAAGAGTTCAGGTAGTAGTGATGGTGGACGCAAAGTGTTCATGCATGGCCCTTTCCACGGCGGAGCAGGGTCGCTCTCTCCCATCGCCCTCACCCCCTCACCTCGACTCTCTGACACAGATCGAATGACAAGGGAAGTAGAGTGTGTCATTCCAGCTCCAAGAAAGTCCTGGGAGGTCCAACGGGCACAACGGGAACTGGGCTTGCCCCCTGAGGAGCGCCATCCCACCTGGCTTCGGCCCCAGCTCCCTGCTTTCCTCTTCCTTGCCCAGCCCCACCTTCATGTGCCTTCCTGAGAAGCACAAAGCCACTCTGCTGCTGTGCACTTGTCCATCTGGCCACCATGCCTGCAAGAGGAGAGAAGCCTGGGCTGGGCACAGCTGTGTCAGAGGCATGCTAGGAAGGTTCCCCTGCTGGCCCAGCTCACCCCATGTTCCAGCTTCCAGGTTCCAGCCCTGCGATCCCATGGGTGAGCCAAACAGAAAGCCAGCCTGGTCATAGGGACCCACTGAGTCCTGTGTCCTCCCAGCTCATCCGGCTCTGGCATAAATGTTCAGGATGTTGGTAATGGACCATAGAATGGGGTAAGGGCAGTACTTCTCCAAGCCCAAACAGACCTAGATCGCACACGGCCTCCTTTCCCATTCTGCAGCCCTGCTACGCAGGTCCAATCCTCTTTTCTCCCATATTCCTCTGCTCCCCCACCCTGAGGCTTGGGGACCCCCCATGGCTCGGGAGTATCTCTCTCTTCCTAAGTCAGCACTGCAGTTAATATCCCTGCAGTCTACCACGGGGCTAGGAACTCACAGAGAGCGACCCCAGGCTTCTGTCTCTGCAGCCCCTCTCTGAATCTAATCCTTGTGCCCAGTCATGCTGAGGCCCAGCTCTGCTGCTCTGGTCCCCAGACAGAGGGCTCTGGGAATAAGGACCATGAATCAACTCCTTGGTCACAGGAGCCCCAATGCCTAGCACAGGGCCAGGCACAGATTAGGCACTCTATTTGCTTTATTATTTACATTTTAGTTACTATAATTGTAATAATAATAAAATAATAATTATTAATAATCTGGTTTCTAGACCCTTAATTAATATGAATTAATAATAACAATGTGGGGCACCTGGCTCAGTCGTTTTAAATGTCAGACTCTTGATTTCGGCTTAGGTTGTCATCTCACGGTTTCATGAATTCCATCCCCGCATCGGGCTCTGCGCTGACTTCGTGGAGCCAGCTTGGGATTCTCTCTCTCTCTCTCTCTCTCTCTCCCTCTCTCTATCTGCCCCTCCCCCACTCCCGCTCTCTCTCTCAAAATAAATAAACGTTAAAAAGATAATAATAACATTGCATCACTATTTGCCAGACACTTTTGAAATGTTCAGTATATGTTCAATGAATTCACTCTCAGGACAAACCTCTGAGTAGATACAATTATCATCCCTATTTTACAAATTAGGAAACTGAGGCACAGAATAGTTAGGTAAATGACCTATGACTGAGCAGCTAGAAAGCCACATAGTCAAGGTTAAACCCAGGCAGTGTGGATCTAGAGTCTGTGCTCATAAACACAGTCTACACTGCAGGTCTACCAGTGAGACGCATTAAGCTTCTTCCCTATTCCTCACTTTGAAACCTGTCCAGGTGGGTCTGCAGGCAGCTGGTGTAGGACTCAAAGAAGGGCTGCAGGTCATGGGCACTGGCCCTGGAGGTGGCCAGCTGCTCCTGCAGGAGGCACCACTTGGTCTCCAGGAGCCATACCTGTGGTCAACCAGGGAGGAGAGGTCATGGCCTGCCTGGCCTCCAGCTCACGAGCAGACCCACTGCCCCAACCCAGGCTTTATGTTCCCAGGCCCCCTCCCCACCACAGGCCCTCACCTTGTCGATGAAGGAAACAACCTTGTCATTGAACATCTTGATTTGCTGCTTCTCTTGGCCTTCACCCTCCTGATCTAGAGGGTCGATTCCCATGTTCAGGGACTGAAGGAGGCTCTGGTTGATGGTCACCTCCTGGATGCTGAGGGGAAAGCCCCCTGAACCCTCATGGCCCCCAGATCCACCAGGAATGCCTCCAAAACCACCATATCTCCATTGCCCCTTCCTCCAGCCTCACACAGGCTCCCTCCAAAGGCACCCAAACATCCCCAGCATCCCCACACTGAGCCCCCAGCCTGGGTGGCACACTAAGCAAGATTTTCTTGCTTCCCCCAAGGCTGTATAGGCTCTGGCTGCCAAAGGCACCCTGTATCATGACACAGGCTATGAAAGCAGGTTAGATAAAGGTGTCCCCTCCAAAAATGATGTAGTCCTAGGAGTGCAGAATTTCGTCATAGACAGTGGGCTGAATCTCTGTCCCCCACTCCACTCCGCTGCTTGGGCCTCAGCTAGAAGTCCTTTGTGGTAAAGCCTCATAAAGATCTGCTACAGCTCTGGTGGAAATGCAGTAAGAATGCTTGAGAAGTGGCACAATTTGTTTGTTGTAGGGGATTTAGCGTAACCAATTATCTGCTGCCTTCTAAGTCTGCACCAGCCACCAGGATTTGGCATTGACTTTGCAGTGCAGACTACTACTCAGTAATGGCATTGCGTTTCCTAAGGACAAGGTTATGTTGTATCGTGATCCAATAAGGGAGTCCGTCTCAGATCCTCTCCAATCACCAGGATTGGACAGCAGGGGGTGGTGGGGGAAGAAGACACAGAAGGCTCCTCCACTGAGAACTCCCCGGCTGACAAAGGGAATGGAGGTGCACGCAGCACATGGAGAGACACAGAGACCCTAAAGCCACAGCAGGGCCATGAGCCTCAGGACCTGATCTCAGGATAAATTTGGAGCAATTCACACACACACACACACACACACACACACACACACCCCACACACACACACACACGCACACGCACACACACACACATGCCCTCCATGAGACCTGAAGGGCCAACAGGGCTTTACTAAAGACACATTATGACAGACTAGCTTTATCTCATTTTCAACAGGGGCCACTTGCCCAGTAAGCCAGAGGATACTACAGGTGTAGGGAAACAGGGTCCCAGAAAGATGCCAACTGGGTTGCTCATGAGGCAGATGGAGAAAGACCTGGAGGAAGTATAGCACCGGTAACACATCCATGGCCAGCTGACTCCCATTCCCTGACCTGGACAGTGCTCCTTGACAGGGTGCTCGATCCTCCGCCCTCATTCACTATGCACTCATCCAGTATCTGCTCTGGGCCCGGAACTGCCAGGTGCCGCAAACAATGGCTGTTGCCTGCTCTGCCTGCTCAGTCTGCCAGTTCACGGGCCAGCAAGGAAGGCAGACACGTCAATACAAAGGTACTGAGAAAGACAGGTGTGTTCAGGGCCTGCTGGTGACACGATGAGGGGGTGAGTAACTCTGCTGGTAGCTGAGGGGCAGACATGGAAATCTCTCCTCAAGAGCAGATGTCAGAGCTGAAGGAAGATGGGGTCTCAGAGAGTATGCCCACCAAAAGGGAAGCATTTGCAAAGGACCCAAGACTTGGAATAGTTCAGAGTGTTTAAGAAAATGGGAGCATTTTTGCTCACTGGTAAAGGTAATACAGAAAAAGGTGTGGTGTTCTGGGACTGCGTTGGAGAAACAGGCTGAGCCCCTTCAAGAAGGCCTGATAGGTCATATGAAGATGTCAGATTGCATCCTCAGGCAATAGGGAGCACTATAGGACTTAATGGGGGAATAACATGGTAAGATTTGTGCTTCAAATGCAATGCAGACACCCTCAAAGTCCTCCAACCTCCCAGATCTTGCTTCCCTTTAATAACCAACCAAATGTCCAACCCCCATTTCAATTCTGCAGGGAGTTCAGTACCTCCCTCTCCCCCACACTCCTGTGGAGCCCTGAGCCAGACCTTCCCTGGTCAGTCTACAATACATCTTCCTACCTGTTGCTCCCAGTCACCAAGACCACCGTCTGCCCCTAGCCCACCCTGGCCAATAGCTGACCCCAACCCTCTTCCTTTGCCAATGATGTACTGTAATGAGAGTACAGTACGATCCAGGAATGACCCCAGTTCCTTATCTGACATCCCTGTGATAGAAATGTCACGGGCATCCCCTGGGAAATGCTTCCTTGACCATGGCCTCCATGTGTGATCTCCTGACATGTTGTAGGAGCCACTCTTCCTCCCTCTCTCTCTGCCCCTCCCCAACTCACATGCTCTCTCTTTTGCTCTCAAAAATAATTTAAAAAAAAAACTTAAAAGAAAAAAGAAGTAAGGATATAAACAACCCATAGTACTTCAATTCTATGGAATACTCTTGGCAATAAAAAGAAGCAAACTATTGATACACACAACAAATTGGAGGCATCTCAAAGGCATTATGCTGAGGGAAATAAGTCAGTCTCAAAAGGTTACCTACTGTGTGACTTGTTTATATGAGATTCTCTGAGAGACTAAACTATAGTGACAGAACAAGTCAGTGGTTGCCCATGGTTAAAGGTGGAGGGAGTGTGTCACTATAAAAAATAACATTCAGGAGGGGCGCCTGGGTGGCGCAGTCGGTTAGGCGTCCGACTTCAGCCAGGTCACGATCTCGCGGTCCGTGAGTTCGAGCCCCGCGTCAGGCTCTGGGCTGATGGCTCAGAGCCTGGAGCCTGTTTCCGATTCTGTGTCTCCCTCTCTCTCTGCCCCTCCCCCGTTCATCCTCTGTCTCTCTCTGTCCCAAAAATAAATAAACGTTGAAAAAAAAAATTTTTTTTTAAAAATAACATTCAGGAGTTTTGGGGGGTGACGAAACCTTTCTGGACCCTAACTGTGGCGGTGGCTTCACGAATCTATACTGCATAACTGTTAAAATTTATAGAATAGTTCACCCCCAAAAAGTCCATTTTAACATATGATAATTAAAAATACAGACAAAGGAAAAAGGAACATGTTGAACAATATCACGGCAGAGGGGTAGAGGTGGGGGAACACTAAATTAGCAGGACACTAAATCTACAAGACAAATGACCAGGTTTCTTCAAGAAATAAATTACAAGGAATAAAAAAGAGGGATATGACCCAATTGCAATGCATGAACATTTTTTAGATCCTGATTAAACAAGTGCTTTTAATGCAAACATTCACAAGACATTATAGGAAATGTGAACTCAGACTGGATTTTTTTTATTTGAATATAGTTGATAAACTGGACTGAATTTTTTTTTATCAAAGAATTAATGTTTATCCTGTTAAGAGTGATAATTTTAATATGGTTATATTATTTTAAAAGTCCTTATCTTTTAGAGAAACTTAAGGACTATGCATGAATAAAATAGTGTGACGTCTGGGATTTGTTTCAACATAATCTGGAGGGGTAAAAGGAGTGGGGAGAATAGAAATGAAACAGAATAATGAGTTGATTGTTGAGTTGATCGTTGATGGGTACAGAAAGAAGCATTCATTTACTCTTCTGTCTATTTTTATATTTATTTGAAATTTTCTATAATAAAAAAGTTTTTTTGTGTTTTTTTTTTTAATTTTTTTTCAACGTTTTTATTTATTTTTGGGACAGAGAGAGACAGAGCATGAACGGGGGAGGGGCAGAGAGAGAGGGAGACACAGAATCGGAAACAGGCTCCAGGCTCTGAGCCGTCAGCCCAGAGCCCGACGCGGGGCTCGAACTCACGGACCGCGAGATCGTGACCTGGCTGAAGCCGGACGCTTAACCGACTGCGCCACCCAGGCGCCCCATAAAAAAGTTTTTAAAAAGCTACTTCCCTTAAGATTAAATATAACACCTTTCTCTTCTATTCCAGCTCAGGATGAGTCAGTGGCAGGAGCTGCCAAACTGCCAACTGCAAAGTTGGAGGATACATAGTGAGAAGCTCCATGCCCACTCTTTTCCTTGGGCTAGTCAGGCCACTCTTGGGAGTTTGGGTTGGGTTCCAGACATCCAGAGGATGTGATGTCTATGACAGAGCACCCAGAATGGTAAGGGCACCCAAAGCAGAGTTGGAAATGGAATGATTCCACAAGGAGAAGGAATCCGATAAAGGGGAAAAACATCCTCGAACATTTGTAGACTGTTGTGCACAAGAGGACTTAGGATTTTCCCTATAGCCACAGAGGGGAAAAAACTTGGACCAATGAGTAGAATTTACAAGGTAAAACTCAGTTTAGTGTCCTTTATGAAAGAGAGGAGTTACTTTCCACAGGAAGCTGCTGACTATAGAATGGTGTTTTAGAGAAGACTTCAGTATCCAAATGGGGATTCCTTTTCAGGGCCTCTGAAGTCATTTCTAGCCTTGAAAGTCTGACTCCTCAGAAATTAATTAACAGTGGTAACCCTCAAAATAATAGTGGTAATATCTCCCATATATTGAGTACCTATCTTGTTCTAGGAGCTGACCTCTGTCATGCATTGTACAATTTAATCAATACATCAGTCAACAAGTACAAATTTTCTGTCTGATATCACATAAGATACAAACAATATACGGCATAGTCCCTCTCTTTAAAGAGCTTATAATCTAGGGGTGCCTGGGTGGCTCAGGTGGTTAAGCGTCCAACTTCGGCTCAGGTCATGATCTCACAGTTTGTGGGTTCAAGCCCCACGTTGGGCTCTGTGCTGACAGCTCAGAGCCTGAAGCCTGCTTCAGAATCTATGTCTCCCTCTCTCTCTGCCCCTCCCCTGCTCATGCTCTGTCTCTCTCTGTCTCAAAAATAAATAAAACATTTTTTAAAACTTTAAAAAAGTAAAGAGCTTATAATCTAGTTGCTAATCAAAATTTGTATACAAGTAGTATAATATCTGTATGAATATTTTCACTTTATAAAATACTTTCATGTATATTATTTCATGTATTTTTTGAAACATCCCTGAGAGGTAGATATTGTTTTTATTATCACATTAGCGAATACTAACAGCTAATATTTTAAATTACTCTCTTCCTCTGTGAGTGTCCAGTTTCCAATTTGCTCATCATGAGCCTAGCTCTGATCAAGAGAAGAAGACTATCCTCTCAATTTTCTTTATTTTCATTTCCCTCTCATCCCAATAAGGGAGTTAAATTAAACATAATAATCCAAAAAATAATAACAGTAATAATAGTAATAATCCATGTTTTTAAAAAGGAAGCAAGTATGCTAATCATCCAATGACAAATACTGCCCAGCAGCTGAGACAAAAAGCAAACATGCTAAATTAGGTAAGTTTTATTATATATAAGGACTCTGACACTTGTTTGTTGTTCCTGGTTTTAAAAGAAACAAAACAAAACAGACAAAGCCTGGGTCTATTTTAAAGTTGAACTTTGAAACAAATATTAATATTAACATTACTTGATCTTAAGTGGAAAATCTGTGAGCACATGTAAATAGTCAGAACTAAAGGAGGGACTGAGAAGTCAGGTTTGGAGGGATTGAATCCCCCAGGTATCTGGACCAGATCTCAGAACCAAGGACAGAGCCGGGCTGTGACTAGTCAGCTTCTGCCTTCAAAGACCAAAGACATTCCACCCCACAAATCTATCATGAAACAAACAAAACCACACATGTGACATTGGTACACCATGCAAGTTACAAGCATGGACTCTAGGGTCCAAGTACTCATGTTCAAACCCTGGCTGTACCACCTGCTAACTGCATCCTTTGGCATAGTGTGATCTTTATGTCTCTGTGCTCCTTTTTCTCATCTATAAAGTGAGGATAATCATACTTACCTCATAAGATCATTGTGAAGATTAAATTATTTATGTGTGAAATTCCCCGAACAATGTCTGAGGAGGTGAAAATTACTTAATAAAACCTTTTTTCATTTATTGATTTTCCAGAGCCTTGAGATCTCAAGATGTGGGAGGAAAAGGGAGACAGAGAGCTACAGAGTCTTACTGGGAAGAGGGGCAACTGTCATTGAATCATAAGGAATGAGGACACAAGGGCAAGGTTTGACCACATTCTCCTACCACTGTAGCCTAAAGCCCCCAAGGGAGGAGATAAATAAAGGCTGCCCCTGGAGGTGACCCAGGCTGGGCACTGCAGTTAGTCAGTTGGCTGTCACCGAGCCATTTGGAATTCTTGGCAAGGATTACTGATGCCAGTATGAGAAGTGTGCCAGCCCCAAGGCGTGTCCTGCCCTGGGATAGATCCAAAAAGAGTGAAGCACAGCGTGGCAACTGAGCAAAGTCCGACCCAGTTGGCTTAACTCCAAAGACACCCTCAGCACCCTCCTCCTCTCTTCTTCTCTCACTCCATACGTAGCTGCTAATGTAACGTCCTGCAGGCCACATTTTGAGTATGTTGCTCTCTGATTCAGCAAACATCACGGGTCCCTATTACTCTGAAAAACTCATAGAGTCAAATACACCATCACATATTATAATTTAATGAAGAAAAGGAAACAGAGACCTGAGAGGAGGCAAGGAAGAGTTTCTATGTAAGAGAACAATGGGCAGGTGATACGCTCAGGGACAAACTCCTAACCTGACAGTGTCTACCTGGGTCCCCTCTTGGCTTTGAGCCTCCAAGCGGATGAGAGTATTTTAGGAGAGAGGAGCGATTATAGAGAGGTGTGGCTAAAGGCAGGGGAAATCCTACAGTTGCACATCAAGGTCCAGTCTCAGTATTTGATGCAGGAGCTCTGGTCACTGCTGGTGGCAGTCTGCACGATCCTAGCCAAGGAAGAGGATGAACTGCTCAGTCTGGGACTCTGATCCATGGAGATGCTCGTGCTTCTGGACTGGATGCCTTTCCCACATTGGTGGACTCACTGTCCCTTTGGATGCCCTGGCCACCTCTGTTGCCCAAATGCCATTGCTGCTGCTGCTGCTAGTGCTCCCAGCGCTAATGTTCTTGCTGCTGGATGTTTGGCTGACCACAACTGCAAAAAAAAAAAAAAAAAAAAAAAAAAAAAAAAAAGGAGGAGGCTGCTCGGTGTCATCTGTCTGTCTAAATGCCCACTGTATGCATTCCTATCTTTGGAATGAGTGTCAGAGAAAATTCAAAAAAAGGTGACCACCCTCCCATGGTAGGGAGTTCTTTGTCTGAGGGGGAATCCAGGACACACACTGGATAGGACATTAGATAAGTCCTACCCAAATACGACTCTCCCTTTGCCCCTCCCTTTCTTTTACTCTTAGAATCAAACCGTGGAAAAGACAATTTGCAGGTAAGCAAGCTGAAGCAAAGCCACAAGAAATCATCTCAAACAATAGAAATGGAGTGTGTAAGATACTCACAGATGCACACTGGGCTCTGACACTCCCCAGACATCTTGTTTAGGAAAACAAAATAAATATGATGGGAACCTCATGGTGGTTCCTCTCAGCATCTCTGTTCAGAATTATCCCTTGGGATGCCAAAGTACAATAATCTGAGTTGCAGCATCAGGGACTGAAATTAGACATGAGAAGGGCTTCCCTGGGATTCTAGGATGGGGATGCAGAGAACAGAGATATAATGTGTCTCTGGATACTTGGCTCTGTCATCACCTTGGCCTTGATTCCCTCACTGACAAACCTGGGATAATATACTTCTTCATCAGTTTGTTGAAGAGAGTAAATTAAGCCATGAAGAATGTCTAGTACAGTGCTTGGCCTATACCAAAAGTGACACAGCTTTTATCTGTGCCAGAGATATAGAGTCAAAGAAGAGAGACTGATGCAGAGAGGAGTGGAAACCAGTTTGTAGAACTGGAGGAGCAGGCTACCAGGACCACCTAGTACCCATCTTGTATTGTCCACCATCCCAGGATTGACTGACACTGACCTTTGGGAAGAACCATATGCCTGTTGGAAAGCACTAAGTATTCAGCTGTAACAAATATATAAAGTTGGTGTTGTCCCCGAGCCCAAAGGGGGAGTGCTAGGCAGTATAATTCAGTTAAGCGAGCATTTGTTAAGACCCTCCTTTGTTCCCTACCACTGTGTCTAGCCAAGGACCATACAATCCTTTGAAACTTGATTCTCAAGTTGCCCTCCTTGCCTTGGCCAGAGTCCCCACACACCTGCACTCCTCACCACCCAGCATCTTCTGGTAGGTGGCAATCTCCACATCCAATGCCAATTTGACGTTCATCAGCTCCTGGTAGTCACACAGGAGATAAGGCTGGTATTCTGAAATGGGAAGAAAAAAAAGAGAAGGGCTGAATCTTTAAACCCACCTGGGCACATAGCAGGTGACCACAGGTCTCCCTCCAACTGTCTTAATGAAAACTTCTAAGCTGTGTGCTGTGTTGTTAACCATGCTAACTTCTTCTGCCCATATCATTCATATCCATGTAGCTACACTATGCTAGGAAATTCCAGTGGTTATTTGAATCCTTACTCAGAGATATTGGTCACCTGCTTCCCGATCTCTTAAATCTCATACCCCACGGTATGAGACCCCAGAAACTCAATGCCACATATTTCATGGAGTCTGGGGCCACACCCAATGAAATGAGGGAAGACCATTCTATCTTGAAGATGATGGCTGGGAGTAAAGGTAACATACATGAAGCCATAGCTCTGTATGGTGTATCTTGGGAAGCCCCCTGTAGGTTCCAGTGAGGACCTGAAAGGCTTTCCAGCCTGCTAGGTTCAGATACCCCACCAGCATCAGAGTTAAAATCCTAGGCTTTGGGGAGCCACACCTGCCTGCTTCTTGGTGCCCTCAATCTTTGCCCACAGCCTCTGGACCATCCTTTTGAGCTCTGCAATCTCACTCTTGGTGCTCCTCAAGTCAGCGCCATACCAGCTGGCTATAGTCTGCAGCCTCCCAAGCTAGAAGGTGTGGAGCAGATAGGGAGAGATTATCTCTAACCCTCAAATACATGTGTGTTAAAAGGAGAATAGGGGGAGCCTAGGTGGCTCTGTCAGTTGAGTGTCTGACTTAATTTCAATTCAGGTCATGATTCCTGGGTCGTGGGATTGAGCTCTCCATTGGGCTCCATGCTAAGAATGGAGTCTGCTTAAGATTCTCTCTCTCTCTCTCCTTCTCTCTCTGCCCCTCTACCCCCACCTAAAATGAAAAAATAAAATACAATGAGAATAGAAGTGCAGTTAATCCAGAAATTCCTAACATTACATGGAGGTCCAGCAGGCATTTAGAATGAAAAGTATTGCTTAACTAAAAATGTGCATTATCTGGGATGGGGCCAGGAGGGGCTGGAGGTGAAGGAGCAGGAGCCCTGGGTGAGTCTAGACTGATGCAGTCACCCTTATTTACCTTGACCCGGTACAGCCTCTTAGCCTCAGCCTTGCTCCCCTGGGTGATCTCCTCATACTGGGCCTTGACCTCGCTGATGATGCTGTCCAGGTCCAGATGCCAGTTGTTGTCCATGGACAGGATAACAGACATACCACTGGATTCTGACAGCACCTGGTTGTACTCCTACATGCCCTCAGGAGCACACCTTTGCACAGTGTTGCCTTCTCTCTGGGATGCCCTAAACCTTCCATGCACTGGCTCTGGAACGTTGTGAGATCTAGAAAACTAAATCTCACTGGGGGGAAAGGAAGGGGACAAGACAGAGACCCAGAAACCAGGCAGCAAGAAACTTCCCAGCAGGCAGTGAGGGATTTCCCTTAACTCTCCCAAGGATTTCCATTGGGAGGCTATGTACACAGAGATTCTAAAGATATGGGCTGCAGATTCTGAAAGCTTGGAGCCAGGGGAAGGAGAACGTAAGCAATATTACCAAGGAGGTATAAAAATGAAAAAACGAAAAAGAAATAGGGATAAAGATGGGAAAGACTTTGCAAATGTTTGCTGCCAAATAGATTTCACAAAGGAAGCTGAATGCCCAGAATCAAGCAAGATCTGACACCACATGTTGTGGCTTCCACCCTACAGGATAGTATAGAGGTGCTTACCGCTTCAAAGAGGGCTTTCAGGAAGTTGACGTCACTGGTCAGACTCTCCATTTTTATTTCCAAGTCCACTTTGGTCGTGCAGGAAGTATCCACATCCCGAAAGTGAAAAAAACAGAGAACCAGCCTTCTTAGTTTTAGTATTGCTCTCATTCATTACCATTGCATTTAAGAATATTGATACTGGGGCACCTGGGTGCTCAGTTGGTTAAGCATCTGACTTCGACTCAGGTCATGACCTCATGGTTCGTGGGTTCCAGCTCTGCTTCAGGCTTTGTGTTGACAGCTCAGAGCCTGGAGCCTCCTTTGGATTCTGTGTCTCCCTCTCTCTCTCTGCCCCTCCCCCGCTTGTGCTCACTTGCTCGCTCTCTCTCTCTCTCTCTCTCAAAGATAAATAAGCATTTTTTAAAAAGATACCATGCTTATGTAGTTGTGGGAGCAAAAATCACTTAAACCAGACATTACACTTGCAGTAGAGAGTTTTGACAATTAAGCTCAGTGTTAGAAAAGATCTTTATTATCGATTTTTGTAATTTTTAATAGTTGGAAATAAACTGTAATATGTAAGGACTGGCTTAAAGCCATTTTGCAACTGATAAACCAAACACACTTGAGAGATATCTTAGCTACAGAAAGAAAACCCTCAGGGCGTAGGTTCAGACTCAAGGCTGGCACTGTCCCGGGTTCTGGTCATTAACACTTGGAATCCTGCTTGGGACAAAGTATTCTCCAGTCTCACATCCCTGGGAAGGCACCACCATTCCCCCTTCCCTCATGCCATCTCCTCCCTGTGCTGTCTTGTTCTTCCCCACTGGCCTGCTCATCTTCTTCAGAACCGTGAACTCATCCTCAGCCTCTGAGCACTTGTTAAACTCATCCACGTACCTATGAGAAAGGAAGGAGGTCATGCTTAAGGGTGGCTGAGCCAAGGGTATGTGCACATGTGCCCAGGGAAAGGTGTTTTTTCCAGGAGCTAGTGTATAACCTGGGGCAGGGCTGCAGGTGGCTATTCTCTGGATAAAACCAGGCTAAAGCCAGTTGAGTGGCATGCTTTATTATGATGGTAGGGCCTTTAAGAGCACATTGGCACCCCGTTTCTGACACTACAGGGTATTGGAAATAAGGGGAGCGGGGAAGAGGGGAAAGTGGGTAATGGGCATTGAGGAGGGCACCTTTTAGGATGAGCACTGGGTGCTTTATGGAAACCAATTTGACAATAAATTATATTTAACACACACACAAAAAGGAAATAAAACATGTGGTGGAACTGGTACATAACCCCTGGTGTCCTTGAACACCAAATTCATAGAGGTCTCTGAATTCTCCACTGCAGGAAGTCAGTCTCATCCTCATGAACAAAGACCCATGGTCACTCCCAAGGCCACCTTCCATCTGCCCCAGAAGCTCCCAGCTGTTCCGTTCTCCATCTGTGTCCTACCTCCCCTTGAATCTCCCTCATCATCCAGGACAAACACATTCTCTAACTGGTCCTCACTCTTGGCGGTACGTTGAAATCATCTGGGGCTCTATAAAAGCTACCAATGCCTGGCTCCAATGCCCAGAAAACCAATGAGTCATGAGTGCAACCTGGACATTCAGAAGTTATAAAGCTCCCAAAGTGATTCTGGTAAACAACAAATGATGAGATCCACTGTTGTTAATGCTAGAGTGCCTGACATCTTCCTGTGTCTAAAGGAGCTCCCTAGATGCCCATGCTGTGACATACACCTCATTCTCCTTGCCACCAACACAAATATCAAAAAAGAGCAGATCCTCCTGTCATCAGACCCCCAACCTGATACCCCATCCTTTGGCCTACAGACTCAGGTCCTTGAGGACATGCACCAACAATTTCCTGGCTGGAAAGCCTCCACACCTCCTGACCTGCACCACAATCACCTAGACTTCACTCACTTCCTCTCATATTCCTCCACAAGAGTCTGCATCGTGCTCTGCATTGTGCTCCATCCAGCTGATGCCGTTCACTCAGCAGCCTGTCCAGGTGGGCTCGCAGGCAGCTGGTGTAGGACTCAAAGAAGGGCTTCAGGTCACTGGTTCTGGCCTTGGAGATGGGCGGCTGCTCCTGCAGAAGGCACCACTTAGTCTCCCGTACCCTGTTCTGCTGCTCCAGGAACCACACCTGTGGTCAACAAGGGAGGAGACCACATGGCCTGCCCAGCCTCCAGCTCATGAGCAGACCCACTGCCCCAACCCAGACTTCGTGTTCTCAGACCTCTTCCCCACCATGAGCCCTCCCCTTGTCGGCAAATGAAGCAAACTTGTCATTGAACATCTTGATTTGCTCCTTCTCTTGGTCTTCACCCTCCTGATCTAGAGGGTCGATTCCCATGTTCAGGGGCTGAAGGAGGCTCTGGTTGATGATCACCTCCTGGATGCTGAAGGGAAAGCCCCCTGAATCCCCAAGGCCCCCTGATCCACCAGGAATACCTCCAAAACCACATCTGTCTCCATTGCCCCTTCCTCCAGCCTCACACAGGCTTCCTCTAAAGACACCTGAGTAAACCCATCAGAGCCCCCTGCCTGGACAGCACATCTGGCCACACTGAGAGAGACCTTCCTTCTCCTCCCAAGGCTGTTACATGCTCTGGCTGCCAAAGGCACCCCCTATCATGGCACAGGCTGTGGAGGCACTGCCTCCCCCAGAGCGCGAGGCTGAGTGGGACCTGGTGGGGCTGATACAGCCCTGGCTGGATGCCACGACAGCAGAGCGACCCCTTGAGCCCTTGGTGGCCTGGGACAGCCTGCTGGACTGCTGGCTCATTACTTTCTCTGGGCACAGGAAGATGTCCTGGTTCAGATGTCTCTGAGGAAAGGGCACCTTCTGACACAGGGAGATAGGTGGCCCCTTTTATAGGTCTCAGTGAACTGGTTTATTAATTGGATGATTTCCAAGGTTTCATTCTCTGGCTACAACTAATCCCCACACCAATTTCATTCGCTGTAATCCCAGAGTCTCTATTTCAAGTCTTTCCTGTAATTAGCCTTTTACAGACTTTGCGCACTACTGAACCAGGGCCCTCCCTTGATGAATGAGCTTGGCTCCTGCCAGGCATGGCTCAGTCCCAGGGCCCCAGGCACCAGCTTCTCAGGAGGCAGCAGGTTCAACTGGGTGACTCTGTGGCTTTTTCATTCCCCCAAAACTCTGGGCATCCACTGGTGTCACTGTGCTCTCTGCCTCCCAGAACGAACTCTACACAGGAGTCTGGGAAGAGTTTGGGAAGACAGAGTGGAAAGTGGGCTCCCTTCTAACTGTAGCACCTACAAATCTCACAGTGTGTCCCCATGGAATTCACCAGAGAGCCTCTGCTGGTGCATCCCTGGTTCTACAAGCAGCACCTCTGCTACCCCAGTCACAAGGGTGAGAATGTTCCAGACTGACCCAGAGGCCTGAGTAAGTGGACTCAATACCAAAGACATTCATCTGAGCATTAACAGTGTTCACTATTGGGGTGACCAAGAGATCTCTACTGTCTCCTCTGTCTCCCTGTGGCTCCCTGCATGGTTTTATTGCTCCTGTTCAACTCACTGCCCTGGGAGCCTCCACATCCCCTTTTTCACTCCCATGCCAGGTTTCTTCCCTTTTCAAACGTGCCTCCTCGGTTCCCTTTCCAGAAAGCCTCCCCCTTTCAGGCTCCTGTGGGTTCTGCTACCTGCATTCCCTTTCTTCCTCTTTCCTGCATGAAGGCTGCAGCCCTGCCCCCTCAACAATAGACACCATGGGCAAGGGCGGGGGGGTCTTATCTGTCTGGTGCAACAGTGCCCCCATCACCCAGCACTGCACCTGGGCCCAAGTTTTGTAGAATGAATGGCTGCCCAGTTTTTCCTGCTTCTGGTACTGCCCCTCTACATGGGTCCCTGTGTGTGTCCCACCTCCATTGTCACACTGGACAAGAAAGCCTTTTCCCTTAGGACATTCCTCCCACCCAGATTGTCTCTTACCCCAAGCTCAGGACTGAGCCTGGCACATGTGAGTTCAGGATACGGTTTTAAGACAAAAACTGGTAAATTAGCTGCCATTTGTGTGGATGGCTTCTCTCTCTGCTAAATATGCCAGCTGTGTATCAAACCCATTTTAAGCACACAGGAAATGCAACCAGATAGCCCATGGGTGGGAGAAGGGACCCGACTCATCAGAAGGCCTTGAACCTCCCTTGAACTCTCACATTCTTTTATCTTCATAAGCCCCCTTAATCTCACCTTGGATGCTTGTTGTGACAACCTGACCACCTTCGGAGCCTGGGAGAGAGGCTGCATTGTCCTCAAAATAAAAAAAAAAAAAAAAAAAAAAAAAAAAAAAAGTGATTTCATTAAGAACTCCACACTTGGGGTAATAGCAAAAGCCACCCTAGCTACAAGGAGAGATCAGAATCTGGTGGTTTCTGGTGAACCTGGGCCAAGGAAAAGGACCCACTACAGTGGGAGGGATGCCAGAAGACCTTCCCAACAGAGAGGTTAGGAGAGCTGGAGCACTCGGGGCTGCTGTGGTATCTACCCTGGAAGGAAAGGAAGTCATGATTGGGTGTCAGACATGGATCCATTGCCATCTGACCCTGTGTGAGAGACCTGAGTACCTTCTAGTCACACGAGGTGGAAAGAAGGAAGGGAAAAAGTCAGGCAAGGTCAGGGGCACTAGAGTTTACAGAGTTCTTTCTGCTTCCAGTAAGAGCTTACACTGGGCTTGGAATACACATTTCCTCACACCTCAGCATCTGCATGGACCTAACACCATGCCTTGCCTCTATAGACAGCACCATGGGAATAGCTCACCAGATGGCAAGTCAGCTCTCAAAGATTTGTGGGAAACGTACTCATTGCAAGGCACACAAGACAGCACAAGAGCTAAAGTTTAGGCAAAAACAGGTCTATTCAAACATTTATTGAGCATATTTTGGTCATAGAGCAAGGAATTCAGAGGAAAAAGGAGATGTGTTCTATATATGTAGGAAGCAAACAGTCTGACACTCTCACCCAGAACACGAGACAAGCACAGATGGAGCCAGTAATAGCCATGTGTCTATTGCAGTTATAGGAGGGGATGGAAATGGGATCTGTGGAGGGAAGTTAGCCATGGAAGGTTTCCCAGAGGAGATATCATAAGCCAATTTGATAAAGAAGATGCACAGCATCCCATGTTGGGATGAAAAGACTTGCAGGAACCAGCCTGTGCAGCAAACATTACAGTTTTATTTGAAGCAGGATCATCAGAAGCTACTTAAGGCAACAGAGGGTAGTATGTTATATACACAGATGCGGGGGCGTGTACCAGCATGACCCATTGCGTGGGAAGAAATTATGCCGGTCATGGCAACCTGGAAAACTATGGTGGGTCATGGAATTGGACATGGTTCGCTTCTCCCCCAAAGACCCACCCAGAACCTCTAGTCTCTCCTTGCTCCCATCCACCCCTACATCGCTGCCAACATGATCTTATACAAATACCACTTTCAACCTGTCACTCTTCCACCCAGAAAATGACTAGGCCTCCTGTTCTAGAAGAATGAGCTTCTCCCTTGACCTCTAATGCCCTTCCTCCTCTGCCTCTTATTCCTTCCTCCTTCCCCAGTGCCTCCCTTTAATATTAAGGCCTTACCACTCCATCCAAGTCAATTTTCTTGCTATCGTTTGGTGGGAAGTTGGACCAAACCACTTCCGAAGTTTCTTCCACCCCCTGGGTTCTGGGATGCTATAATGCTTCCCCACCTTCCCTCGCCATCACCCTTGGAGACTTTTGCCTCTGAGAGTGTGATCCACCCTGCATCCTGACCCAGGAATTCCTTGATCTTCTCAATTACACTCATCTTCTTCCTCCTCCACCTCAGCCACCCACTCAGGGCCATGCCCTGGGTCATCACAAAGAAATGTTCCCTCTTGGAAGCTTAAATCCCAAATCCTACTCTCTGGCCATAATCTTTCATCCTTCAGTTTACTCCCACCTACCTCCCACCACACCTGCTCTTCAGTGTTATAAATACTACCATTGTCTTCATCCCTTCATTTTCTCCTAGCCTATTAGCCCTCTCACGGCCTCTTTTCCTGTTCTTCCCAACCTAAGCATTACTCATTCATTCAACAAATACCTTTTTAGTATCTATTATGTGCCATGCACTTACCAGGTGGTAGGGAGTGGTGAACAAAATTAATACTGTCTCATCCCTCATGGAACAGTCTACTGACCATCTGAACAACCTTTTCACCAGCATCCTCCATTTCCTTATTCTGCTATCTTCCACCAGTCACCTAACGAAGTCCCATGTCTAGGAGGAGGCTACAACATTCTTTTCCCCTCCTATCCCAAGAGCTGAGCCCTGCTGGGAGAATCACACAAGCCTGTAATCTGGGGCACAACAGAGTCCTGATCTCCACTTCAGCTGGGGGTTCAATCCGTCTCTTGTCCTGTCGTCTTCTCATTCATGCCTTTGACCTTTGTCCCAAACTTCCACCACTCTCTTCCAGCCGCTTCTTAGTCCCCACTTTCTGTTCAAAGAAGATGACCTGGCTTCCTACTTCCCTGGGAAAATTTAGGTTATCATAAGTGATCTCCTTTTGGCATCTCTTCCATGCCTTCACTCTTAGCTGCCTCCACACCCACCTTATTTTTCTTCCTCTTGTACAGGGTTACAAGACAGCCTCCCTACCCACCTCCTCTAGTTTTTTACTCAGTTACCCTCTTTCCCACCATGTCCTCAATCTCTATTCTATGCCCAAGTCTTTCCCATCTTTAAAGTCCCTATCTTGACCCCATGACACCTTCTTGCTATTATCCTGTCTGTCTCTTCCCTTTCTCAACTAAAGTTCTCAAACGGGTAATCAAAATTCACATTATCCATTTCCCTATCACTGGTCAACTCCTAAACCTATGAAATCTTCTTCTGCGTATAATCACCATATTATGGGCACCACAGTCCTGAGAGTACATTCTTTGTGGCTTCCTAAAAGCCAAATGCAGTATAAACCCTTAGGCCCTCATCTCCTCATAGATCTCTCTGCTACAGTTGAAACATGGTAGTAGCATGTTTTCATGAAAACCATTGTTTTCAGTATCACTTCACTAACTTGCACATATTTTTTTGAATCTCGTCATTCCTTAAAGGGCTATAATACACATAAATAGGTTCCAGTCTTCATTCTCATGTAACTTGGCAATTTTCTTTCGGATGTGGTGGATAAACCATGGATAGATCCAATTTATCAGGAATTTGGACAGAGCATTCCTTGCCAAAGAAAGCACATACCCATTCTTTGCAGGCTGAAGTCAATCTAAAGCCCTACGATTCTGTGGGACCCTGGGCCACAAGGGTAACTTGCTCACTTGGGTGAGCAAGTTAAATAACTTGCTCACTTGGGTGAGCAAGTTAAAAGAAGTGGTGGTGTTATTACTGTCTCGTTCTAGAAAGACAGTGCCAACCCTGGATGAAACGGTGTAGAAGCAGGCCAACTACAGAGACTAGAGACCAATGAATCAACAAGGAATTAGAGATATTTCCCCTCCTCCCAGATCTCAGAGTTCAAACACAAAACCACCTGGGAGGCCATGTACATTTATGTGGGTTGTGTCCTTCACAAGAGTGATAAAGAGCCAAAATTTAACTTATGCTCTGGTAACCAACCTGTGTGTGGTGGCATGGGCTGTGTCCATCTGGAGCACAGGCATCTTTTACTTTACACAAAGTATTGTCCTCTGCCAGGCCTGTAGAGCTGTATCTGCACAGAGTGGACACCCGTTTCTAATTCACAGAAAGACCAGCCAGGCCAAGAAGACCTTGGAACACCAGAGTTGGACATAATAAGCCTTGGGACAAAAAGAATCCACTACTAGAAAACATTTGCTTCTCTTGTATCCCACTGGTATTTGGGTCAGTCAAGTCATGTTGTAGTAAAACTACCTGAGTTCAAATTCTGACTCTCCAGCTCCTAATTACATGATTTTTCATAAGTTGCTTAATTAGCACGCTGTGCCTTGGCTTCCCTCAATAAGCTAAAGATAACAATATGATCTACCTCATAATGTGGTTGTAAGAATTATTTTAGAACAGGCCCAGGTGTATAACAGCACTCAGTACACATTAACTCTTAGCTAATAGTGTCATCCTATGTATAATGACGGAAGATCATCTCTTGCATATCAACCAAACAACATAACTGCCTATTACCAGGGTCCTTATCAGGGGTGTGTGTGTGTGTGTGCATGTGTGTGTTTGGCGGCGGGGGCAGGGGGGTGGGGGGTTTCCTGTTGCTGTTTAGTGTGTTAAAAAGAAAGCCACAGTCCCTTGGGGCGCCTGGGTGGCTCAGTCAGTTGAGGGTCCGACTTTGGCCCAGGTCATGATCTCGCAGTCTGTGAGTTCGAGCCCCGCGTCAGGCTCTGTGCTAACAGCTCAGAGCCTGGAGCCTGCTTCAGATTCTGTCTCTCCCTCTTTGCCCCTCCCCCACTCATGCTCGCTCGTGCTCTCCCTCTCTCTCTCTTTCTCCCTCTCTCTGTCAAAAATAAAAACAAACAAAAAAAATTTTTTTTTTAAAGAAAGAAAGCCACAGTCCCAAAACAGAATCATTTAGGACAAGTCAGCAAACCAAGAGTTACTACCTAAACTAACTGCACTTTTGTACCCTACCCCCCCGCAGAAACGTAACCTTTAACTAGCCAATGCAGAATTTTCTCATCAATACTAGGAAATTTACTGATAAACATCTTCCACTCCTCTTAAAAGGGTTACCTTGTCTGAACAATGATTCCTTGCTAGTAAATTCCTTTCTCCTTTTTTTATGCCCCCTCTCTGCCTTTAAAATCCTTTTGTTCAGTTCAGTGGAGCCTCTCTATACTGGTTAGTCAGGATGCAGCCCAATTCTTGAATCATTTAATAGAGCCAATTAGAGGGGCACCTGGGTGGCTCAGTTGGTTGAGCTTCCAACTCTTGATATCAGCTCAGGTTGTGATCTCACAGCTGTGAGACTGAGCCTCACGTTGGCTCCATGCTGAACATGGAGCTTACTCGAGATTCTATCTCTCCCTCTCCCCGACTCCCCGGCTCACGCGCGCATGCTGGCTCTCTCTCTCTCTCAAGATAAACATTTTTCTAAAAAGCCAATTAGATCTTCACATTTACTCAATTGAATTTTGTTTTTTAACAAGTGTTTCTCTGTTTCAAAAAGGCAGGCATGTGGGTGTGGGTATGTGTATGTCTGTGTGTATATGTAGGTGTGTGATGGGTGAGGCAGGAGTTACAGTCAAAAGACTCAGATACATCAGCCATGTGCAGATGCAGAGATTGGGTAGACCCATTCAACTCTATACTAAAATTTGTATTTAATTCTAACTGAACAGGAATAATTATGCAAAGCTTAAAATAACTGTTAGAAATGCCTCAGGTCCCAGACTTTCTTTGTACTTCCATCACAAAAGATTATTGTCAGACAGCTAAGACCCTACATCTTAATTACCAGTTTCTCAGGGCAAAAGGTGCATGAAATCAATTTATGGGCATTCAAATGAGGACTGTGTAGGCATCGACTGCAAGTAACAGCATCTTTAATAAGGCAGAACCTGGCTTGAAACAACCAAAAGACTAGTCTAAGCAGTAGCATGAGAAGGAGCTCTAATGCACACTTTTGTCAATTGCTCTCCCCAGATGCCAATAAAGGGTAGACTGGGGGAGGTGATCGATCCCCAGCAGCTTGGAGGCAGGGAAAATGCTTAGGAGTTTATCTCTATCAGCCAGGGATCAGCTAATAAGGGTCTTGACTTCTGACCTTGGCCAGAGTGGAGTCCTCAGAAACTCAACCAGGGGGATAAAAAAAAAAATCCAGAATGGTCAGACAAGGCAGAAGGTGGGCTGGGGAGACACATCAATCCCTGCCCCAGCCACAGCCCAGCTTTTCTGAATATTCCAGGCAAGGTTTACAACTAATCAGATGGCAGCAAGCCAGGGAAGCCAGGGAAGCCCACTCCCCTCCGAATCCCGGAAGAACTTTGTAATGACTTCTCTGGTATAAGGCGGGCTGCCCACTGCCCCTGGTTCTTCACCTCCAGGGTCTTCAAAGATCTCAGGGTATTCTCCACTCTCCCCAGGAGAACTAGCTCTTACCTGAAGAGAGGCATCCTTCAAACCCCAGTCAAGCAGCCATCTAGCTGCTCCCTCAGCCTTTGCCTCAGGTCAGATTCCCCACCAGACAGACTCTGAGATGGAGATTGCAATCAATTCTGTAAAGGAGTTATTAAAGCAGGATTGGGAGTAGAGGGCCATTCACAACAGACCCCTCATCCCTACATGACTGACCCTGCTTGTTTCTCTCTTCACCTCCCCACCCCACTCCATAATCCCATCTGCCACAGCAGACTTGATTTGGGAAGTGACTCCTCCCCATTTGGAACTTGGCCTCACGTTCCCACAATCCTGTTAGCCCCCTCTGGCCTCCCTCTGCTTGGGCCAAGTTCTGTCTTCCTCACCCCACTCCCCCCACAGGACACTCATTCTGGCCCAATTATGACTGTTGCCCAGATTTTGGCCTCCTGAGTGGCTCGAGTGCTGTTGGAATCCTTGCCTCTGACAAGTAGATTAATAAGAAAACCAAAATGACTATCCAAAGAGAAAATGGACTGCACAGAGACAATTCACAGAAAATGAAAATTAAATAGCTAATAAATGTATTCATAATGTTCAATCTCATTGGCAATCGAAGAAATGAAAATCAAACCAAGAAAATTGTCGAACACTTTAAAAA